ATCTTTTAAAAACCTACACTTGCATGTACATAAAGCTGTACAAAAAAAGCAAGGCTTCACTAGCAGTTTTTTTTATATATATAAATATAACCAACCAACATGTAGGTTACAAACGTGGACTTCATGTAAAGACAAAAATTATTCAATATTTTTTTTTCTGCACTTTTTTTTTCTAATTGAAAAAAAAATATATTTTTTTACTATACTGTAAAATTTCCATGCTATTAAGACCAAAATCTGTATTTTTCTATCCAAATTTGGACTTAAAACCCAGTAAATCACTGAAGGAATTTGTGCCAAAGACCAATTTTATGAAGATTTTTAGTTTCTTAGTAGTAATATACAGATGTGGGCGCCACAAAAGAGCTCCATACAATCACATAGAAATGACAACTGTGTTGCTTTTCATAAATTTGCAAATTATAACCTCAAATATTTAGGAACAATACCACATATACAGAGTGCCTTGCAAAAGTATTAATCCTTCTTGAACGTTTGGATTTTTGTAATACTAGAACCAAAACATTTAATCGGTGGAATGGGACTTTATATCAGACCAACACAATAGTGCACAATTTGGAAAAGCAGTGAAAAAGACAGATGATCTTATTTCTAAGTAATAATATCTGCCTTTTTCTTGCTGTTCAGATGATTTCATTTGTAAAAAAAAAAAAAATCATCTCTCTCTTTGTTGGTCTTCAAAATTGTGCAGAAATTGTGTTGATCTGTGAAATCCAAGCCCTCACATAGTTCTATTTTTATATTGTTTGAGTTTCATTTTTTGCTTACAGAGGGGATCACTATAAGTTTGTTGTTTCAATTTCTCAGAAATGCAGTAAAAATTGAGTTTTAGTTGATTTATGACAAATGTTTACATCTGTGAGGATAAACTTTGGATAGACTGTTCTATGTCCTGGATGGCAAAAGTAAGCTGGTTACACCAGTCTGTCTTTGTCATGTCTTCCAAAAAACAACAACAACAAAAAAAAAAAACTTGTAGTGAACTTGCCCGGTTTGGGGGGATGGGTGAAAACAATTTATCATTCTCACATCAGGTTAAAAAAAAAAAAAAAAAAAAAAAAAAAAAAAAAAAAAAAAAAAAAAAAAGAAAACAGTCACTTATTTCCATATTGTATGTCTATAACAGTGTCGATTCCATATCATTGATAAACAACTGTGACAATAACAGAAATGTATTATATTTATAAAGTTGGCATGTCTTCATGCTTCAGCTGAGGCCTCACTTCCAGAGACTCCAGCTTTGGTATAATACACAATCCCAAAAAACTGCAAACCAAACTTTATTCCAAGATTCATGTAGAGCGATGTGTGTAGAACCGCAATTTGAGTTATCACTGGACGTTTACACTGACAAAATTCAACCTCATCAAGCTGTAGATCTGAACGACACTATTAACGCAAAGTTGTTTTTTTAAAACCTTAAAAAGACTTCAGAAGGACAAAATTTACTTAACAGCCAATAATTGTGTTCTAAAAGGTTAAAATTGGGTTCAATTGGTTATGTAGAGCAGAGCAAGCAGAAGGTTTTCAGGGAGAAATGGTCATATTTAATGCTTAATATTTTTAACTTAACTAAAAAAAGAAGTAGTAAGTAAAGTAATCCCGGAGAACAAACGAAAACAAGAAGATCAGTCCATCTTTTAAATCAAAGGAAGAAGCCATTACATCTCAATCATTGTTAATTTGACTGCACATTATATGTTGCTTTTTCTGTACACACTTTAGCAATCAATAATTTGAAGTAATTTTCTCCAATCCATTTCAATCTATTGCAAGGAAAGGTCAGTAAGAAGTACAATTGAGCCAAAAATTATGCATACTCCTATTAGATTTAGGTTTGGTTTTCATTCATGGTTTTCAACATGTTTCTGATATGAAATAAGAAAGGCATCTATCAAAACAAGTATTCATTTTGAAGAGGACGTTTTTAATTCTTCTTTGTTACACAAAAGTGTGTTGAAAGTAAAAAAAAAAATACAAATTTGAGTATCTAGTACAAAATGTCCTTTGAGGAGCCAGAGTGGCTGGAAATTTAAATGTGTTGTAATGATACATGTTTACGATTCACAAGGACATCACGGCCTGAGAGTTTAATGAATCTACTCTTTCACAAATAATAACCTGTTTTAAGTAACATAAAGTTATTCTGTCCAGCAGATAAAAGCGCCTGATATGATTTTCATTCTGAGGGTGTCTGGGCTGTTCCTTAGAGGAAGGTGGGAGCCTCAGAGTTTTAAAGTACAGTCGCTGTTCCTCCTCATTGAGAGGAGCCAGTAGAGGTGGCTCAGGCGTCTGGTCAACTCCTTGGTCAGGATTTCCAGGCACGTCCCACAGACCCCCAGAGGAATACCCAGACATTGCAGGGACTGTGTCTCTCAGCTGGCTTGCGAATGCCTGGGGATCCCCCCTGTTCCCAATTGGCTGGATAAATGGAAGTCTGGGCCTGTTTTCTTAAACTGTTGCCTCCATGACCCAACCTCGGATTAAGAGGAAGGTGATGGATTAATGGATGGAAAGGCCTTTTCAGACTAAGTTGTAATTTATTGTCACAAATTTGCAAAAAAAAAAGAAAAAGTATTTTTTTAAATTGGATTCTTTGTATTTATGTTCTTTAAAAGATTAAATATTTTGTATAATCACTGTTTAACTGCTCAGAGGCATCAGCAGATTTAAATGTTCAATTGCGTTGCTCCTCTGTCAGTTGGTAAACCTTCTGCTGCTCGTCACCCTTCTTCAAGCTGCTAAGACGTTCGTCGATTCTCAAGTAAAACGTCTGCTAACTAAATAGAACTGTAGTAAAAGCAATACAAATATTAAACCATGATCCAGGACTTTTTTTTTTTTCTTCTGTGTCTAACATGTTCAACAGAGCAAACCTCCCATTTATAAACATTGCGAATGGAACGAGGGGAATCAACTGGTTCCCAGCTGAATCTCAGACAACTGAGAGAGAAAATGTTGAATTTGCTGCGTCCGAAGCGTCACCAACAGATGCATCACAACACTGACTGACAGGGTAGAGATGAAAAGTGTAATAACCGACTCAGAAGGTGAGAAAAATGATCTTTACATGACCCAAAATATGATGTAAGGAGAATTAGTTTGGTAAATATACAAACACAACGGCTGAATCATCAGAATTATATCTCCTGAACTTTAAAATACAAGGGGGGGAATCTAGCTGATGCCCAGTGTCGTAGGAAATCTTTTCCTTTAGAAAACTGTGTAAAATACCCACAATTGTATTTTATCCAGTAGTTTTTGTACAATTTTAGATGTCTAAAGCTTTAAAAAATGAAATAAGAAGGGATGTTTACAAAATATTTATGCATTTATGTCATAAGCAATGAATTTCAGTTAATAATGAATTAAGGGTAAAATAGAAGGATTGTAATGCTATTTTGCAATAAGAGCTGCAGCTTGATTTCAGAAGCACACACTGATTTTGTTTTTAATATAAATGAACTGATAGATATTAGTGTGTATAACGGTCCATTTCATTGTCAAATCTGATTAAAGGTACTTGTTACTTTTACAAATTGTTTTTCCACCTTGAATGAAGAGCCCCAAACAGATTATTTTCTCTGATTAGATATGAGTCGGTGCATATGCCAAGGCCACCTGAATATTTCGGCAAACAGGACATCTGATTTTCAACACAGAGGAAATGTCAGAAATATCAATTTCTGTCACTGTGAAGTGGATTTGAAAGTGAATGTTCATGTAAAGCGACCAGCTCCCATTCCTTCTTCCTGCACACACATACACACCCACACAGGGACTGTCAAAGTGTGTGACAGAAGGTCTCCTGGGGGCTGACGGGTAGGTCGGGAGGCTGGAGGCTGTGTCGGGGGGTTTAGGTTTTCCTCCAGGGAGCAGGAAGTGCTTGCTGACACTGTGGATCCTTCAAACGCACAGACACGCGGTAGCAGTCAAGCGTTTGGACACCGTTTCACTTTTTTCATTACCTTGTCTAAATATGTGACTGTTATTTTGGATGAAATATCACCCAAAAACACTTTTTCTTTTGGTTTTCTTTTACTCTTTTGATTTTGAAGTTCTGTCTAGTTGAATTTCTTCTGTGAGTTTCATTTTTGCCAAATTATCGAAACATCTATGTAGTGTTCTCAAGACACAGCTAAGGGCTCCCGCTGCAGTCATACAGGATTTAAAAAAAAAAAAACGAAAGAAGAAATGTGAGTCAAAGTCACGCAAAGAAACAAATAACTATATTCTGAGCACGGTAGCTGTTCCTCTTTGCTTGGTTTTATTAAATCTGACAGGCGCAGCCATATCAGCTTGAATGAAACGTAGATGAAGGTAATTTTTGCTTTTTGTTTCGTCTGTTTAGAGCTACCTTTGAAAGGCTGGAACATCGTTCATTTTAATCTGAATTCCAACTTGTCATTATTTTCTTTATTACAGCACTGCATTGTAATGGTGTTTTTGATTGTTTGACATTGATTCTTTTTATTTATCTAAAGGGCTTTGATTTGCCCTATTGCTTAAATGCCCTATACAAATAAACTTGCTCAGGTTTCCTCATAATGATTAACACAACTGCCTTTGACCTTGTTCCTCAAATTTGTGACCACTATGTGGCCTACACAGTTCAGACCACTTGGGGTCATTTTTTTTCCACGTTTAGTTTTATTTGACATTTCTTTTCTGTGACATTTGTTTCCTGTTGCCTTCTGTTTTTATGGGAAGCACTTCTTTGTTGCCTTTGCTGTGTTTGTACAGTGTTTTGGAAACAAATATTGATCGAATTATCCATGAGCTGTGACAAACATTTCTTGACATCAGGCTTTATCTCACTGACGTTTCATGAGCGAACTTTACTCAAAGTATTTTTGTCACAAGAAATTAAACAACTATGCTTTAATTGACAAATTAGGGAATGATATGTATCTTCACTGCGAGTGAAAAGAGCAATGCCTTCCTTCATTACAGGACTGGTTTTCCATCATGATATGGTGTTTTTTTTTTTTGCGTTTTAGCTCATTTATGTCCAATCTCTTATGAATTGAAAAATTAGGAGGAAGACTGATTGGATCAATCCCTCTGATGATGCCAATCAGACTGATTGAGTTGATAATAATGCATATCTAATGTACATAAAGGAGGGAACTGACTTCATTCTACCAGCTTGGAAGAACTTAATGAGTCCCAGCCAAAATGTTTTATCTAGGCTTAATTAAGTTTATCTGTACTAAAAAGTGTTAAACCTATTCATGTCTATAATAAGCAAACTAATCTCTTAGTGAGTACGCACACAAACACCAAAGCACTGTTTGCTTTTGAGGTAAAACTAACATCGCAGAGTTCGCCAAAGATCGCCAGAGGTTACCAGAGGGTGGTTGTTTTCTTCCGGGGTTAATTGGTGCCAAAAGGTTGAGACTAAGCTGACGCTACAAGACCTCTAGACCTTTTTTCTGCATCCTTCCACCACACACCGCACTCAGCACAACACAGGCCAACCGGGACTCTGACCACGCACCCAAGCAGCCGGTGGACACAGCAGAGGAGCCGGAAGCAGAGAGCGAAGGTGGACCGCCACGAAACGCCTGTAAATAATCAATCAGACAGTTGAGCTCGGGCGTTAAATCACCGCAGGAGCATGCAGCGATCATGAGCTCTAAATCTCTTCAGCGGGCAGGGCTGAGCGGCAGCTGAATGACGGCTGATGTATGCGTGTCATTGTATGAGCATATTTACTGAACGGGCAGATATGTCGAGAATAAATCAAACTTCATTCAGAGGCTGGATCATGAGAAGAGCTGCAGAAGAGCCCACACGTCAAGCTTTACCTCAAGTTGAGCCAAATATAAAGCACAACACAAAGCAATTAGCTGTCTGATATGCAACGGATGATTTTACATTGGAGATAAAAACACAGAGCTAGAGAGAAGCAATCTGCAATGCTCCATCAAGCTGCTTGCCTCATGAAACGAGACATTAACCCTGCCTGACCCAGCTGATGACCCTAATTTGTAATCAGTTTACTTGCAAAGACTTTCAGCTTGTTTATGTTGCTTTGGTGTGGTGCTCTGACTGTGAAGGCTGGAAGTGCTGAGTGCAAAGAAACCAAACTAATGAGTCAGTTACACTCCTGTTCACTCGAGAAAGACATCGATCTCACCTTGTGGATATGATAAACAGGCATGTTTAACTTAAATGGTACAAAATGCATCGCTGTGCATTTTAAGTTTATTAAACTCTAGGATTTTTCTAAGATATAAATGTTTTTATTTACTTCATTTTGTTTGTGTCTGCAAAAGAAGGTGTGTACTTTGAAAATGTCAGCACTTGACTCAGTGTATTTAATTTTAAAAGCTAAACTATCTCAGAGAGCAGGCTAATCAATATCCTCTTTTCATCCTCGTCTGCTGGTCTCCGTCCGTTCAGGTGAAATCTCAGATCATTTTCAGCAGCCACGAGAACAAGACCTGAAATGACTGAACCTCCACACCAACTCCCTTTTCCTCACGCAAATTATCACTGGTGATATGCAGAGCCTCAGGTTGTAATTAGACGTTCTCCGCTGAGCTCCATGTGTGGGGGAGTGGGAGTGTTCGTGGACGAAAGCCCATTCAGACATCATTAATCCTGTATTTCTGTGTGGCCGGAGCGCAACAACAACTGTCTGCCACATTCCCCGGCTGCACCCCCCTCCCACCTCACACAGCAAACTGGCTTAATAAATACTCCTGCTAAACATGGAGCAACTCGGCCTCACGCAGAGGTGGGAAAGAATTGGAAACTAACGAGCGGCGACAATGACCCAAGGGCTCTTCTTTCGAGTTAACAAACGCAGCAGGGAGACGTTCTCTAAAGTCAAACACTCAGGAGTGAGGACAGCTGCAGTGGACAGTATCAACAGGAAACAGCTGCTGCAGAAACAAACAAAACAGTCTTCATGAACACTGTGCTTAACATATTCTAGCTGCAGGAGCAGCGGAACGACTGACGCCATCTGAGACCAGCCGGACTTTCTGATAAATACTCCGCTTTTTCTTTTTGTGTGTGTTTTTTGTTTGTTTGTTTGTGTTTGTACCAAAACTGGAGCATAACTTGATCATCACTGAGGTTTGACTGAAAATCTGTGTAATTTTTATTACACCAATGCTGTGCTGAAAGTACATGCAGAGAGGATTTTCGACTTCACATCTGCTCCCTACAGGATGGACCTTTATGATGTTTTTGTTTTTATTCAATCTTTTATAATGGGACATTTCAACTTTAAATTGTAGGTATTAGAAATAAAGAAAATGCCAAGACCCCACATATTTCCTGCAGCTCAGTTGGGTTTAACCACAAGTGGCTTCCATTTTGGAATTTTATACCTTGAGAAAATCAAAACACGTGAGAACTGGAAAGAATTTTCTGCATAAAAAGCCAACTGATGTACTGAGAATAACACAGCATAGGTAAAACCAATGTACACATTTTGTCAATACTCCATCAGTATCCTGGAAGTAAATTCTTTCGATTACAGAATAATATTCATCTACCTAGGTAGAAGGATAGATTTCAAATTGGTATGAGATTATGAAATTATCGTATTACCCTTCCCAGACTGAAGTTGAGCAACAATCGGTTCTCTGAGATCACTAAGGTTGTCTTTCTGACTTGGCATGGCGTTAAAACATACACATATCATGACAGAAAACTACCCAAACTACAGCTTTTAGTTTTTTTAGGAGCGTCTCCCCAGCAGCAGCTTGTTTCTGCTTTCGAGATTAAACTCCACACTGATGGTGTGTTTAGCTGTATGGTGTTTCTATTTGACATTACTTTGTTTTAGTTTTGAAAATTACAAATAATGTGGAGTTTGTTGTGGGCATTCCTTAATTTGAGGTTTAGATTTAAATAATTTTAGAACCTATAAACACCAGATCATTTTTAATACATCCTCAGGCATAAAACCCCATAGAACCAAAGAAGGCTGTAATTATTTTTTTTACAATGTCTGTATTGTCGTTCTTTGTTCTGAAACATGAACACTGTGTTCTGGTGGCAACAGAACTTTCTATCACAAAACCTTTTTTTTTTTTTTTTTTTTTTTGGTTCTCATCAGTAAACATGAAATGGGAATGTAACACATGTTGAAGATTGTGTGTTTATATTTAGCTGTTAAACAAGTCCATTTTACCATAATATGGTGAACCACTGAGAACAACATGAGGTTATAATCCTCTGAGTCAGCTTCCTTTTGATAAAACAAAATGATGCACTTCCCCACAGAAGCAGTGTTGAGAAGCTGCAGAGATAAAAACGGAAAAAAAAAAAAAAAAAAAAAAAAAAAACTAAAACACTTAAACAACAAAAAGTCTTGTGGTTGTAACTTGGCACCGTCGGTGATGCTCAAGAGTCCAGATTCCTGCAGTGTGACACTGAATGCTGCGATGTTGTTACCCTGTGTGCGCCCAGATTTTCAGTCCATCAAAGGGACGATACGTGAAGATCTGCAGACAGCACAACAGCCACAGATCCACACTGAGAGCCACAGCAGTTTCCTCTGTCACTGTTTGTAATATTTACAGCTCTGTACACTGAAAAAAGGATCTGTTCTGCCAAAAAACTAAGATACAACTCCGGTGATTGTGAAACAGCTGCGCTTCTGCAAACGTCTTTTCAATGAGCCGTTTCCGTTGATTGAATTCAACTTGACTAAAAAATGCGATTCCTACGGCCTCCAAAGTCAACAAAGACAAAGTAAATAAAATAAAAAAAGTTGAGGATAGATAAGATTACACAGTATACTTAAGTAGGATTTACAAGAAGTTCTTCCCTAGCCCCCCGTGAAGTTCTTGTTCTTTTTCTGTTCCGACACAGCGACAAAGCGTAATGCCACACACAAAAATTTTACTCAAATACGTGAAGAGCTAAATAGTTTCCCATGAAATCATCACAACTATGTGGCATTGTTTACATTCCATCCACAGCAGCTAAAACTGAATTTTCTTCCATTCTCATGTGTCTATTCTTACATTTGATTGGTTTCTAGAGGGGAGTGTCAGCGGTGGCGGCAGTAAGACGGGGCGGGGGTGTTCTAAAGCCTTGTTCGGTGATGCAGTTGTAAAAAGGAAGAAGGGTGAGTCGTGCTGCGGCACAGCGAGTTGTAGGCACAGGGGGTGGCTGTGAGGAGGTCGGAGGTGAGGCGGTGAGCGGCAACGTGGATCATTGGGGGATTTAAAGTTGAGAGCTTGACCCTCACAGGTAGATCTCTCTCTTGGAGGTCTGGCCAGTGGGGGTGGTAGCAGAGTGGTACTCCGCTGCCTGGCTCAGTGGGATCTCCTCGAGGCCACAGTCTTTGCCAGATGAGTCTCCGCTCCCCGGGTAGGCACTGCTATATGGGGTCATGAACCTCATGCTGGCCACTTTGGAGCTGCTGCCACCAGCGCCACCACCCGTCCCACGTTCCTCCGTCACCATGGGCTTCGGGCTGCCGTTGGCCATCAGATGCTCCTGTCCGTCCATTTCCTGGTAAGGCACGAAGGTGGAGAGCTTGGGGGCATTCTTGGAGACCTTACGGTTGGGGGAAGGCTGGCCGGGCATCCAGCAGGAGTCAGAGTGGCCAAACTCGGTGCACTCACGTGTGCAGTTACCGGTCATTGCCACGTCTGGAAGGGGCCTGAGGTCTGCAGTAAGACACACAAAACAGAAAAGCATAAGGATGAGCTACGTAGAAAATCTGGCAAACAAACAGTGGTTGCATGAGATGGAGATGAAGCTTGTGTGTATATGAAAAATGCGTTGTAAAAATGCTATTACTGCAGTATTACCACTGTACTGATAGTAGGAACTGGAAGGACCTAAATTATATCTCTCATACTATCGAGGCATAGTGATAGTTTTAACAATATTCAAAATATATATTTTTTAATAGTTACCTACTGCTTGACAGAAAACAGATCCCTCTTCCTGGTCATGAATGTTGACCTTTTAGGTTTTGCAAGAAAAATGTGCAATAAATGTTTCTGTGTATAAAAAAACAAATAAGGACACTGTCAAAGTTCAATGTTGGTGAGAGCACTGATGAAAACATTATACTCTTTTCCACGCTAAGCTCAAAACGTTTGAAGGAAATCAATTAAATTCATGGTTGTTTTTTCAAGTCACTAATAGTTCACAAAGTGGCAGGAATGTTGTTTAATTTAACGCCCAGAGATGGAGACCTCGTGAAACTGGCTGCTGAGCGTGAAACAGGATCAGCTGGCTTTAAGAAGGCAAACAACTTCAGGTTTAATAAGATGTTAATAATGTTACTGAGGAAACTAATAAAAAACAAAACAAAAAAAACAACAGTACATAAACTGATTATGATTTGATTTGTTTTTACTGGGTTGTATTTTATTTATTTTTTTACTTTAAATTGAATTCTCAAGTTTACAATTTAAAATATATATATATGTATATATATATATATATTCTTGTTTCCTGAGCTTTAGGAATCCCTTATGCAGACAGAAAGTGACAGACAGCTAGGCTAAGTTTGCATTAAAAAAAAAAACCCACCACAGCTCAGAACAGAAAAAGGTCAGAGATGGAAGCAGAAATATCAATGCGTATGCAGAGAGTAACCTTTCTTCTGTGCGTGACATTAGATCATTCTTTGATACTCCAGGCTAGAGACTTGCGTGGTGAAGGGATGGAAAGCGGGTGCAGGGAGGAGGCAGGAGGGAGAGCTGGTCCGCTTGAGGAATGCTGCTGATTTCTCAAAATACCCTCCGCTTCATGTATAATTGACATTCATTGCCTATATTTTGCTAAAGGAGCTGCAGTCGGCTTTTCTGTCTGTTTGCCGGTTGACGTGTCCGTTCTAATCCAGGGGAGTGCTGAGTGGCCGACACTCCCCTCCCCACATTCTCACGGCTGCCGCTGGCTCGGATTTGGGCTTTTAAGCACTTCCCATGCAAAAGCAAGTTGCTTGCAGAAACTGTTAAGTCATGTGCCAGCAACTACTTAGTTCAGAGCTCCTGCTTAATAGGTGCCTCTGATTGTTGTGTCAGCATGAGTCACATGGAACAGGGATTCCTGAGAGCTCCAGATGTAACCCAGCAGCAGGTGGGTTCAGCTGGATCACATCCTGCAGGAAAAACCCGGGTTTGTAACTTTTAGAGCCCTTCCTCTGACTGGCTTGTACTTTTTATTATTTTTTTTCCTGTGTTGCACCACCTCCAGAATCAGTTCTACACACGTGTGCAACCTCAAATCAAACAAATAGTGATCATGTTCTCAAATATCTTGAGAACAGGATCAAACTGTACAGCCTTTGAAACAAAACATCTTCAACACCTGGTCTGATCGGGGCATCGCTTCCTTAGCTTCCTTTTAATTTCTGGATTTACATTTATAGCATTTTGTTGCTTGCTGTATTTTTTATTTTTTTTTTTTAGAAACATTTTTTCCAAATCATCAACATTGTAATAGCTAGGTGTGTATGAATTATAAAAATTACAATGACAGGATTTTCTATCTAAATTAAAAAAAAAAAAAAAGAAATCAACATTTGTCAAATAAAATTTTGCAAAAATTGGCCATTTATTAATAGACAGAACACCTCTTAGCTATCAATGGGAGAATGGATCTTCCTGGACGTATTTTTTGCTCTGCAAGATATGAAGACCTGTGACCCAGTCTCAAATACTTGAAACACGATGCATGATCGTCCTTCGGCGAAGTACTACATTTCTTAATGTTTTCTAAGCAATGCGGTTTTCAACAAAGCTGTCAAAAGAAAGAGTATAATGATTAAGTACAAAGGGAAAATACAAGCTGAAAAGTACAATTTTATTCTAAATTCACTGAATAACTCTGGGTTCTCCTCTTGCAGAGAACACAGACATGGGAGCTAAACAAATGTCCTCTTAGATCTTAACATTATATGATCTCTTTTCGGAAGCTCTTTAGACTATCTGTATCCTATCCCTAACCTTCAGCCGTTTTTTTTTTTTTTTGTTTTTTTACCATATGTTTCTCCACCAACCGATGTAAACGTGTAAAATCTGATGTGATCGAATCTTTGATCCTGCAACACAGGGATGTGTTGATTTAATCAAAGACCGGTCCAATAGTGGTCATGTTTCTCTTAATTAAACACAAGAACTAACTGATCACAGTCTTAGATAAAGCTGATTCTAATGCCTGATAGTAGGGAGGGGTTTGGGCAGTGTGGGCTGGAGTCACTATGAGAGATCAATACCGGCCTTTCTGTAGCACTGCTTGGGCATCCTGCATCAACTGCAGAGGATTTTAGGTAAAGTGATTAGATACCGCTGACTCGGCTGTTGTCAGCTTATTATTGTGCCTTTATTGCCTCTGAATTAAATTCAGAATTTAACTTAATGGGCTTGAACTGTTTTAAAGTATGTTATACTGCCTTTGCAGAGTGGCAGCTCTTAATTTTCATACATTAAGAGACACTGAGGAATTCCCATCAGCTTCATGTTAAATTATGGAAGTACACCACAGTGGGACAAGTCTTCATGGAAATGGCCAAAGAGGATTTTCAGTACGGCACAGAAATCAAAGCTGGCCTTATTTTACATATGAGAGGTCACTTGGGATTTTGGAGATTATCTTTGACCCTCACCAAAGCTAAATGTTCAGCATATAACAGAGTTCTTCCGAGTATATGACGCCTTTTATATTTGTGGTCTCATTCTCTTAGGAACACTTCAAATAGTTTTTGGCTCAACAACGCCTGAAGCTCTGAAAGTAGTTAAATTATCTCAAGGTTGTTCCTGCCAAAAAACTAGTGCTGGGCGTTTCAGATTAATGTCTGGCATTTATCAAGACTCTATTTGTGCTGTTCAGCATAGAAAAAAAATATAGAGTACAGGGACATCACAGCTTGGTGTGGGATTATGAGGAACAGAATGTAGGTCTTGGTTACATTTTTATCAGCTCTAAATTTTGCCAAAACATTTTGATCATTTACAGAAAGACAAGTCAACTGTAATTAATACAAAGGCACCACATTTATAACATATGGTCCAAGTGTTCTGAACAACCAAATCCACTTCTGTAAATTTAAATATCACACAATTATAGTATGTACAAGTTGCAGGCATTAACTCAATTCACATGACTTGAGTCAAGTCAGACTTGAGTATTGTTATTATGGCTTTAGACTTGACTTGAAAAATTATATTTGTGAATTGGCTTGGAGTTTTACACCAATGATTTGAGACGTGAATTGGACTTGAACCTGTGTACTTGAAAAAAAACTTGATGTTCTGCCCAGTTTAAAAAAAGGGTGCACCATTAATTCACTTCACTCTTTCCATACATCCACTCTGTTATTTCCACTCTGTGCATGAGCTGATGTGCAGCCAATCAAATTAACTATATATATATAGTTAATATATAGTGTATATATATATATATATATATATATATACACATTTGTATCTTTGAAGACATCTGCATCGGTAAATCATATTGAGAATCAATATGTGGTCATTGCATTAAGTCTGAATGTGGAATTCTGCTTTTGTATTTTTCACAGAATGTTTACTCTCTTACAAATGATGCGATCGTGTTAAACTAACATTTTGTCTAATCGATCTTTGGTAAGACATCATCGGGTCGGGACTCAAACCCGTGATGGCTGTGTTGAGGACTAATGCCTCCATATATGGGTAGCAGACTCTACTTCCGATCCACTGTAGCCACCCCAAAAATGCATGCTTAAGCCAGGGCTCTACTGCATTGCTGAGAAGTGAACAAATATGTCTCCTGAGTCTTTTCCATGTCACAATTTATTGTGATGACAAAAAGGCTGTTTTAGAATTTTGGAAGCTCAAGCTAACGAGAAAACGTGATGGATTATAAAATGTTTAAAAGTCATCATTGACAAGATTTGTCAACCTCCCAGAGCTGTTTTGGCTACGGGGTGGACTGGAGATCAGAATGATTTTTGCTCTACACTGCACATTTAGGTTTGTAGGCGTGATGATGACAACTGCAGTTAACAATCCAAACTCCCCAGGGCAACAAACATCACAAAACACTTATCAGCTTAAAAAGTTCCCCTGAAGCAGCAACTATGCTTCTCCAGCCATGCCAAGGCCTTCAGCTTTCTTCTCTGCACTCTGGGAAGTTTGAAAAGTTCTGGGGCAACCCCTCGAGGACAAGACAATTTTGCCTTCTCTCCGCAGCACCCTAACCTGGCAATGATGCTTTCACAAAACTCAAATGCCAAATTCAAGGTTGCCATTATTAGCAGGGCCTTTTTAAAAATGGAGTAGGCATCCAAAGTTGTTTTTTTTTATTTTTTTTTTTTATCCACCTTATCAATACTGCTGAGCTGCAGTTAACCTCAGGGACCCTCACTCGCCCTGCTGGCCTCTCTCTCTCTGTGCATAATACACTCCGATACCTTGGTCACCATTTTCTGGTCAAACTAATTAGATTTCAGAGTCCCCGCTTGGGAAGATGTCAGTGGTATGAAATGGAAATAATTTCCAGATGAGTATCTGACATTTTATGCTGTCGACTAGAGTAAAGAGCCGAGGCGGATTGGCTCTCTCATCCTTCTCCTCCTCTTCCTCCTCTTTTCCGCTCCATCACTTTATTCACAGAGATATGCTAAATCCTCAAGCTTCCCCTCTCGCCGCTCAATCCGTGGTGATAA